GGGCGAGTGAGTGAGCGAGTGATAGACAGACAGATAGACAGAGAAAAACAGACAGATGTCTGCGCCGTGCGTGTGGAGGATTCATTCATACAATGGCACATACACACATTTGACAGCTACCCCGTTCGTCTGGACATCGCTTTGCAATGGGAAAAGCCGGGGATCGTGGGGGCTTCCCGTTTTTGAGCTCGCCCATCCCGTCTCGCCTTTTGTCAATATCAAGCCCAATCTTACTGATTCACCCCCGAATCGACGACAGAAGGCTGGCATTTTCTAAGCGAATTGCCCTCTACAGGACCGTTCCTCCGCGGTGGAGGCCTCTCATCCATCCCATCTGTTGGTGCTCTGGGAGGCTCCCCCCTCTGCCAGGCGGCCGCTATCACGAGTCCCTGAGGCTGCCTTGAAGCAAGGAACTCAATGCGGTCTCCACTGGACCCGCTGCGCATCGTCGAGGTCGATGAAGACCTCATGGCACTCATGCCGTCACAGTCATGCTCATGCCCTGAGCTGCTGATCGGCCCCGACGGCTGGCGTGGCGACCACGACGTGTGCTGCGACGGCCGGGGGCTGATGGCTCGGGAGACCCTCCCATCTGTGTGGACGACGCTGCTGGCCAAGCTGGCGCCGGTGATATGGTCTGTGGTGGTAACGCTGCCGTGGCTGTACGTGCATAGCGACGACCTGGCGGGTGAGAGGGAGGTGCTCTTTCACCTGGTGTACATGCCGGTCCTGACGGTGGTGTCGATTGTGGTGCTGTTCGTGTTGATCGTCTGGCGTGAGCCGGGATTCTGCCTGAGGAACCCGCACCCCACTGAGGACCACCCACGCAACACCTGCAAAGACGTCTATGTCAACGGACACCGAATCTGGCGAAAATGGTATCACAGAAGACGCACAAAGAGACAGACAGACACTTGTCTGGTCTGCGTGTGTGTATGTGTGTGTGGATATGATCCAGGTGTGACACGTGCAAGATCTGGCGTCCTTTGCGTGGTAAGCACTGCAGCTGGTGCGACATGTGTGTGGACCGGTTCGACCACCACTGCCCCTGGGTCAGCCAGTGCATCGGCGCCCGCAACCACCCATGCTTCCTCCTCTGGCTATGGCTCACCAGCCTACTGCTGCTCGAGGGATTCACCGTCAACGCCAAACTACTCGCATACGACCTTCCTAAGGGATTCCTGCACATGGACTTCAACAGTAAGCAAAAGAAGTAACACACTCACACAGAGAGACGAGAGGAGACAGGAACGGACAGACAAGTGGACAGACAGTTTGTGAGTGCGTGTCTGCCCATCCATCCATCCATCCATCCCTCGCATGCAATGCAGGCAGTTTGAGGCGGTTCCACTGGCAGTCGTGGGTGTCGCTGGTCTGGTGTCTGCACTGCGTGGCGTTCGGCGGCTTTGTGGGATGGCTGACGCTCTACCACTCGTGGCTGGCGTTGACCAACCAGACGACCAACGAGCGGTACAAGCGGTCTTACCGCACCAACTGGTACTTCTACTCCCCCAACATCTGCGCCAACCTATTCGACTTCTGCAAAGGCCTCTGCCGCAAATCGCTCGTCTTTGTCGACATTGAGGAAATGATCAACAACCCCAGACAGCGGCCGCCACCCCGCGCCCTCGGCGGCGAGACCTACCAGCCCCTGCCGCGCGACTTCCCGCCTGGCCCCAGGGGGCCGGGCCCAGTGCTGGCGCCCATACTCTCTTACCCATCCTACCCCCCCGCGCAGATGCATGACCCTTTCGCCGCGGCCATGCAGATGCAGTCGACGGAGGGGTGGCCTCTGATCTACCAGCCGCAGATCGCTGCAGCCCAGGAAATGGAGCTGGCCACCTTCCCGATCGACATGCCGGTCGTGACGGGCCAGGCGATCCCAATGCAGACTTTCTCGCAGCCCCTCTACTGACCGACGGAATGCGGAGGAAGGAAGAGCAAAGAGAGAGAGAGGCCGTGGAGTCGATTTCGCTTTGGGGGGTTGGGTTACCTTTGGATGGATGGATGGATGTCGGTATGGCTGTATGGCTTCCTGTCTGGCTGGTGGATGGATGGGATGGATGTATACAATGACTGACTGACTGACACAGTGAGAGAAGGCAATGGCATGGTGCCTTGCTGGCCTGGCATGTCGGCGGTGTGCATAGGCAGTGTATAGGTACGCGGATAGCGACTGACAAAATGACTGACTGATCGATTGTCTCGGAAGGAACGGACTCGTGAATGTGTTCAGAGGGGGGGAGCGGCCTCGGTGGGTGGGGTGGTGGGGGCATGGACGTACGGCAAAGACAGACATGGATGGCATGTGAATGAATGAATGAATGGTTGCTCGTTCGCATGGCACGTCTCACAAAACGTCGCGTCACACACAATACGAAATGAATGGCCTACATAATCAATCCATCTATCGTCTGTCTGCACTCACTGGCGCAGATCTACACACCCCACAAGACCGCACCAGCAGCACACGCACTGAAAACCTTCGCCGCCTGCCCTGCGAGCTCGTCGACTCACTCTCTCTTTACTTGTAGCGGTTGGCCAACTGCGGACAAACAGGGCCGCAAACAGATAAGAGGTTGTGAGTTTCTGCTCCTGGCTATAGTTTGTTCTGCCTGCCTGTTTGGCCATGCTGTAGAACTCCTGGGCATCGGCCGCCAACTGGTCGGTTTTCAGCGACACACCCTGCAGGCAGTCCAGGCCACACACAACACAAAGACAGACAGACACAGAAAAGGTCCCACCCAGTCGTGCAATCAATCAATGTCGCCGCATCCGTCCGTCGACTTACCTGCAGTCGCTCAATGTTCTTGCCCACAGTGTCCTTGGCCTGCCCCAGCGACTGCTGCACCCCAGCCGCGCCCTCACGCACACGCTGACGCTCCGCATTGGTGTCATTGCCGGCTGCTCGTGTCGACGGCGGTGGTGCCTTGGTGGCGCGGACCTGGTCCATCCATGCCGATGCCGCCACGTCAGGGTCGCTCATTCTCACTGCCGTCGTGGGCGGGGGCGGCGGGCGGGGCTTGGGAACCGACGCACGGTTGTACTGCGGATCGCCTGCATGACACACACGATACGATGCGTGCACGGGAGGAAGATGATGAACTAACTGGTACGAGCCGTCTCTCTCTCTGTGTGTGTGTGTGTGTGTGTGTGTACCAGGTCCCGGCGAGAAGTCTTCCTGTGCAGGTTTCCACCCCCTCTGGGCATCGATGAGGTCGCCGTTGGTCTCCCGTCTGCTGGCCCCGTCGTCAATCCAGTCCGACAGACTCCCCGACCTGGGCCCGCCAAAGAGGTTCCGGTTGATGCTCTGCCAGAAGGATGTCGGCCGCACCCCGCCCCCTCCATCATCCTCACTCCCGCTCCCCCTCTGCCATCGCTCGCCCATCGCCACTGACTGACACAACCTGGAGAGTGTTCGCCAGTTGTCGGCGCGCCACCGGGCGTCCTTGTCCCGTGACGACCGTGCGATGGACGTCCAAAAGACGCCTGATGGGTCACCGCCACGCCAGGTCTCCTCGTCGCTCAGACGGGTGGCGATGAGGGCGTGGGATGAGGGGGTTGGCACGAATGACGCCAGGTTGAATCGGTGGAGCTTGGACGATCGGTCCGTGGGTGTGAGGAGCTGCTGCAGGGCCGAGAGGGACGATGCGAGGTGGAGGGTGAGGGTGGGCAGGGGGGAGAGGGAGGGGGACGGGTCTTCCTCTGAGACTCTAATGAGGAATACGTGCACGTGGCCGCCGCGGAAGATGATAACCTGCGATGGTGGCCGCCGGGACAGACATAAAGGATGAGATGTGCAGACGAATGAGTGAGTGAGTGTGTTGGCATACGTATGTACCAGGCATGGGCATCCCTCAAATGTGGCTGTGCAGGCGTGGATCGCCTCTCGCTGAAAGGCAACGCCCGTCACCTGCACACACACACACACACACACACACAAACCATAGAGAAAGAACTCATGACACACACCACTCATCTGCGTCCACTCCCACGCCCTGGCCTCCCGTCACCCACCCTTGCGGGCTGTCCATTGTCGCAGTGGACGATTCCCGCCCAGTGCGCCCTCACAGCCACCACCACATTAATGGGCATCGCTGCCCCGCTCGATGACTCCTCGCTGCTGCGTCGACCCCCCTCGTCTCCTTCACTCTCCCTCTCGTCGCCGCCCAGCTCCTCCAGCAGTATGATGTGTCCGCCCTCTGGCAGCGTGGTGCGGTACACGGCCCCCGTCAACACGGTATTGGCTGCAAAGTCCAGCTGCACCAGCTCCCCGTTGGACAGACCGATCAGTCCATATCCCTTTGTCCATTGCGTGGTGGCCTGGAGGTCAGTCGGCGGCTCCTCTGGTGAGTCGGCTGGGTCTGTTTGCGAGAAGCTGAGGGGGTGGGTGGCTTTGAGGGGCGTAAATGCGTCGATGGACGTCCAGCCGAGAGACCCCACGCTGAAGGCTTTGGCCAGCTCGCGGGCGGCACCCTCGTTGGTTTCCCCCTCTGGCACTAGTTTGTTGAGCAGGCAGTCCCCTGTGGTCAGATCCGTCACGCACAGCTGACCCATAGCGTCTGCACACACACAGACAAGCAGGGCAAACACCAAAGGGCTGCTTCAATTCCACCGCCCCCGGACGTCTTTGCGTGTGCACCATGCAGTGCGCTCCTTCCTCACCAGCAGAGACGAGGACCAGCTTCTGCGTCTCGAGCATCGAGAGGGGTACGATGGCCACGACAGTGATGGGGTTGTGGTGGTGCATGACCCGCAGACAGCACTGAAACCCGTATGACAGCAGAGGGGCGGAGGGGCCGGTGGGCTGCCTCCCATGTGTATGTGTGGGGGAGTGTGTCGGTGAGCCTTGCTTCTGGTCTCGGGTGTCTTGTCGCATGAACATGGCTTGTCGGGGACCAATAGGCTGGGAGGGACAAGGGGATTGCGAGGGAGAGGGGATCTGGGCGGATGTGAGCTGCTCGTGCACCTCTTGCTCATGACCCGGCTCCGTCTCAACCATCTGCAGGCAGGCAACCAACGGCGACAAAGAAGACACATAGCATCCATCCATCCATCCACACACCCATGCCTGTCTGGTGGAATGTGGCTCGCTCGGCTCACTCACTTGCTGTACTTGCATCTCGAGGCACTCGGACGGCGCCAGTGGTGCAGCGGTCATCTGCCATCTCCACACGCACACCTCCCCGCTCTCGCACCCCATCACCACATAGTCCCGCCTCTCGAGCTCCTTGGCGTCCACCCACACCTCCACGGCACTCACCGAGGGCTCCATCGGCATCAGCCTCACCACTGGACGGCTGTCCGCCTCATCCAACACGCACCTCTCGCCGCCACTGTCACTCCCCACCTCACCGAACACTCGCGAGCTACGGCGGGATGGGTGGTCGAGCGGGCTGCTGATGCACGAGATGACGTGAAGGAGCACCAGGTGGGCGTGGAACACCGCCCACAGTTTGACGCTGCCGTCCTTGTGGCCCGTGACGAGGACACCGCTGTAGAACTCTTCCGTCGATCTGCCCCATGTGCTCGACGCGATGGGGATCATGTCCTCCTGTCTCAGCTCCATTCGATCCCTCTCGCCGCTGTCCGACCCCGCAGTGGCCATGGCCAGTGGGTCAATCGATCGCCTCAGCTGCCCCAGCATCCGCCGCGTCCGCGTGGTAAACATGGCGTTGACGGAATGGTCGACCGAGTTGGATTCGGTGGTGCCCGCGTCGCCCTCGCCCCCCGCTGCCCCTCCCCTGGGCACATACTTGATGGAGCTGACGCCTCCCATCTGAAGCGACTGCCACTCGGGGGTGAACTCTATCGGATGGGTCAGCCTGCGGGGCTCTGCCGACTCGCACGCCTCAACTGCCGTCCACTGCCCCTCCTGAAGTGACGCAGAGCTGCCCCTCGGGCTCGATGAAGAGCTCACGGAGCCGGCAACCAACACGGCACCGATCAGGCGGTGGTAGGGGGCGGCCGTCAATGCGATGGCGGAGAGCCCGCCCTCGACCGGGGTGATCAGCCGGTGGACCTCGTCGCCTATTCTCCCTCCCGCTGCCTCCACATCTAGTGGCAGCCCCGGGCCGACCAGGCCGTTGGTGACTCGATACGCCCCGGGCGGCAGCCTGATCTGAGGGGGTGGGATGAGCGTGACTGCGTCGAGGCCGTCGGGGCAGGATGCGGGAGCGAAGATGGCGGTGGCCTGCGTCCACAGGTGGCCCTTGAGCTTCCACAAATTGTATTCGTCGCCGCTATTGACTCTGAGGTCCGTTGAAGACCTCACGCTGATGGTGGGGAGGGAGTAGGAGGTGCCCTGCGGCGAGGCCGCCACGTCGACCTCCGCCTCCACACTCGCACCAGCATCAGCTGCCTCGGCATTGGTCGTCTTGTCATCCAGCTGCTGCTCCTGCGCCAAGGCTTCGAACACGTTCTTGGACTGCGGGCTCTGCTCGTCCCCCGCCGCCGGCGGCTTGTCCTTGGTCTTCTCTGCTGCATCGGGCTCAGGCACCAGCTCCTCCATCTTGGTGCCCTTCCTAACGAAGCCCTCCGATGGCGCCGGGCGAGTCATCACATACAGATGGCCAATCAACACTGCCGATGACGACAGACCCTCGCCGCTCGATGACGCTGCATGCGGCTGGGCCGGGACGGTGACGCCCTGAGGTAAGGGGGCCGACGACGCTTGGGGATGGCCCCGCGATGCTGCGATGGATCCACCGATAACGACTGCGCTTGGAGGTGCCTGAGCGGGCACCTGCAATGAGCCTGCAGCAGTAGGAGGGGGTCTTTGGGGGCGACCGCCCGGCGTCGAGGGTGATTGTGTCTTGATGATTGGTGGGGGTGGAGGGGGAGCTGTGGTGGCGGGGGCGTCCCAGTAAATGAACGGCACGATCGCAGCCTGCGAACACGACACACAAGAGACAGGAAGACCGGAGATGCCTCTATGCAGGGCACCTAGTTGCTGGTGTGGTGTGTGGCCTCTCGCTAACCCTGAGTGTGGCGCCAGTGACGCCAGGGAGCGACACGGTAGCAGCGGGGCAGGCGATCTTGCCGTGAGAGTTGAAGACCAGCACCAGGGGCTCCCGCGGGATGGCCCCGCCTCCACCCATGCCCGCCACGGCAAACAGCCGACCGTCGGGGTGCCATGTCAGCGAGTGGACCGAAAAGTTGGGCAGCCCGGGGCGACCACTGCCGACTGAACTAAAGATACGGGACACCCTGCAGGCACCGCACCAATCCAACACAGCACCCACATCACATATAATCACCTACGCATGCCAGACCACTCTCCCTCCCTCCCTCCTTCCCTGCCTCCCTCAGTGGTCTCTCTGGCTCACTTGCATTTGTCGAGGCTCCATTCCACCACAATGCCCCCCGCATAGCCGATGAGCAGACGTGATGGCTCCACGGGGTTCTCAGCGATGCCCGTGACCACAAACCCGACAGTGGCGGTGGGGCGGGAGGTGGCCGTTTCGGGCAGGCGGACAGGCAGTGGCTTGACAGGGTCAGCAAATGCCTCGGCCCATCCGTTGCCAAACACACTGGTCAGCTCCTTGCCCACCATCTCGCGAGCGATGCAGTATGACGTCAGCTCCCGACGCATCGCGTCTACAATCCGGACTGAACGCACCATGTACCGTACCACACAAACACAGACAGACATGCAGACAGACAGACAGGCATGACATGATGTGTGATAGATACCCTTTCTTTGCAGTCTGCTCACTCACCATCGCCCTCATCGGTGCCCAGGTAGAAGAGCCGAGGTGAGGCCGCCGGGCTCATGACGGGGGTGACGGGGCCAAGTGCAGGGGTGCCAGTGCTCTTCTCCAGCACGGTAGTGCGGAAGCGGACAGTGAGGGTGGAGGGGGAGAACTCTGAGGCAGCCACGGTGTCGGCAGCGGCGAGGTTCCAGAACTGGATGAGGTGCCTGCCGGTGGCGGACACGCCTGTGGTGATGATGAGCCCCTTGCCGGCGATGAAGGCCACCGTGTCGAAGCGCACCGCCACTGCCGTGTTCTCGAGTATGTACTCGAGCTCACTGCAGAAGAGAAGCCACACACCAAACCACATCCGTCCATCTGACTGACACCCGGCATGTGTGTGTGTCTGTGTGTTGCTTCGCTTGTCCGCTGACATACCTTGAGACGATGCGCATGTTGCCTGTGTTGAGTGGGAGCGCCATGAGGTGCAGGACGGGGTCGTACGCCATGAGATCGGTGGAGTTGCACATGCCCAGCGGCAGCGGTGAGTTGGCGCTGAAGTGGGAGGGGCTCAGGGTCGGCTCGGCCGGTGGCTTCTCGGGAGAACGGCTCCGAGGGCTGGGTCCCTCCCGCTGCTGCTGCTGCCGCCTGGCCCGTGCCTTGCCCGCAGAGAACACGCGCTTGAAGAACATCTTCAGATCGGATGCCTTATCGTGAGCGCACTATAGCACAAGGGAGGGAGGGAAGATCACCGGTCGGTAGATTCAGAAAATGGCTGCTACACGCTCACCACATCAGATTCCGAGTTCGGAAAGCTCCTGAGCTAGGCTCGCAGATCGCGCCTTTGTCATTTGTCATTCGATGCATTCTTTGCATTCCTGCCCTTAAAGCGGTCAGGGCACGTCTGATCATCGTCTGCATGAGTCGCAAAATGTCGGTACGTACGGCGCTGTACGAACACAAAGGAAGAAACATCCAGACCATCAAGTCGGAACACCGCCTTAAGTCACAGGAAGGAAGCATCGAGGAGGAGAGTGGGACGACAGACATATTATACACACATGACCGCATACGGACGTATAGAAAAAACACAACCACAGACAGACAGACAGACAGACAGACAATACAGGGCTGGACACACAAGCAGAGCAGTGAGTGTCCCAGCCTCACACGCACTCTCGAGCGACAGCTCAGTTGGTTCCAGGAGCGATAAGCACCAAACAAACTCGCGCTGCGCACATGGATGCATCCATATCTCCGGCCATGAATCACGCACGGCACGGCACGGTAGGCAAAGCCAGCCATTCATTCATTCATTCATTACACATACGTACGTACACAGGCCGCGGCCAGGCCGGGAGAGGCGGCAAAAATGCCCTCACTCACGTGGCGTCACCCCTGCCCTCAGTAGGAAGGAAGGTACTGCCTGTCTGTCTGTCTGATGTGACTGATGTAATGCATAGAGACCATACAAACCACACAAATCCCGGCCAGCCAGCCACTCACACAGACGTCAATGGAGGGCTGAGCTGGCAACCAATGAATGTCCGGACGTCCCTTTCTGTCTATGTGTGAGTGAGGAGGGCATCCCACGCACCTGAGGTGCCGTCCCCACACACCACACGAAGGTAAATCACACACCAGCCAAAATCGTCGATCGACGACCGAATGCCGATCTATCAGCAGGAAGGCAGGCACCGAGCAGCACAGAAAACACCAACGGACACGCAGCCTACATAGGCTATGCGGCAACACCCGTTGTACGAACGAAAATCACAAGGAGGGAGTGGCATGGCATGCAAATATGCATACACACACATACACATACACACATCGCTTCAAAGGCGGCGGACTTCTCTTTCCTGTCTCTCTTTCGCCGCACGCAGGCACACGACAGCGGCCTGTCTGTCTGCCTGCATGCCCTACACTCGATCGGCCAGTGCCTGCTCCCGCAGGCGGGCGGACGGACGAACGAGGGGATGGGGTGGACGGGCAAACAAGCCGCACAGTATGAAGCTCTCAGAAACCTCACACGGCATGATGCACAATCAGCAACTTATAAACCTTGGGACGGACGTGTCGTGTCCCCTTTTGAAAGAACTCACCCTCCCTTAAACTCACTGCAGATGAATGCACCAAGAACACATGAATGCACCAATCCCCCTCCCAACACCCATGCATACCGAGAGAACACCATGGTCACAAACAGCCTGTCGGCATAGCATAAAACACCAGCTGCCCACATGTGGATGAAGCCAGCGTGTTGGCATGAGCGTGTGTGTATGTCATACACACAAACGGATGAATCTTCGGGCACACGGATTTCTTGATGGGCAAAGCCAGGCACACACGTATTGATGCCCCCCATCCATCCATCCATCCATCCACCCATCCATCGGTGCCGCCCCATCAACCACGGCAGCACGCATGTCCGACCTGACTACTTGCCCTTCGGAGGCTGCCGTCGCGCGACGAGCCACCACACAAACCGCACCAACACGCCGACGACATTAATCGCTGACAGCACCAGACACGTGAGGGTCACGGGGGGCACATAGGCAGCCAGGAATCCGTCGCTGCTGCTCAGGAACACCGCACACGCCTGCCAGTCAGACAGCAAGTGAGAACAACACAGGAAGGAGCCACCACATGGACGCATGCACGCAGGAGTCAAGCCGGGGAGGGGCTTCTCTGACCTAGGTACCTGTATTGCGAGCATGGGAAGGGATCCGACGAGTGAGAGCAGCTCCAGCGACACGAAGGCGTCGGACGCCACTGGGATGGCAAAGAACGCCCGGCTCCACAAATTCGACCAGCACACGTGGAGCACCGAGATGGAGAAGAAGCTGCACACACACCAGACAGACAGACAGACATATGCACCGATACAATGCACACTTACCATCCCACCTTCCTCCTTCCCTCCCTCCCTCCCTCCCTCCCCCCTCCTTTGTCTGTCTTGTTTGTTCCGCCACTCACTCACCTGGCGAATAGGACGAACATGAGCCCCCTGCCCTCCTCCCACTCTAGGGAATCACTGGCCCTGATCTCCGCACCACGGTGCGGCTCCTTGACCAGCATGTCGGTCGACACACCAAAGGAGTCATCCAGGGAGGCCGAGAAGGTCGGCAAGGAGTGCGTGCCGGGCGGGGTGGCATCATCCACCGACTGCACGGACAGGATGGCCTCGTCGCCATGCGGATGCTCGTGTGGCTCGACTTCCGGCCGGGCAGGCTGCTGCTCATCCTGCTCCTGGTGGTGGTGGAGAACCAGGGAGGGAGGGAACACCGTGGCATCACTGAGAAGGTCAATAGGAAAATTGATGGTGAAAGGCTCGTCCTCGTCCTCGTCCTTGTCAAGCTCGTCCTCGTCCTCGTCTGGCGGCGTCGACGTGGACCCGGAGAGCCTGTTCTCGACGGTACACCAGGTCACGGCCTTCTTAAGGAGGGTTCCGTGGCCTCTCCCTCGGTCACTGCCCTGCAGCTTGAAGGTCCGTCTGTCGGGGCTTGTAGACGAGGAGTCGAACCACTGGCGATAGGATGGGTCTGACATTACCTGCATCCACACACAAACAAACACAGATGTGAGACCGAGAGAGTCTTGTGGTGTGGTGGCATACATTAGCCACGCACTGCACTGAGCACTGACTGACCCAATTGAGGTTCTTGAGGATGACCACCACTTCGTTGAAGAGGACCATGCAGATGAGGTGGATCATAGTGACGTACACGAGCCACCCTTTGTAAGAATCCACAAACAGGAACGCCGCAAAGGCGACTGACGCACGCAAGACAAGCACACAGACACAGACACGCAGCGTGTGGATGGAGTGAGAGCAGATGCATCTGAGGCGCTGTCGGTCTTTACGTTGGAACACGGTGCCCAGCATTGCGACGGTCGCCACCATGACTCGCCAGACGACTGTGTTGCCATGCCTCCTCCTGCTGTGCCACGCCAGCCCACCAGCCGTCAACAGCAGCACACACGCCACCATCAGAAACGCAATAACGCCAACGTCAATCTGAATGAACAGACAGACAAGATTGTCGTTCGCTCCTCTGAGGGTGCCTGGGTCCTACGTGGAACGGGCAGCTTTGCCCATAGGGCATCGTGACATCGCTCGGCACATACAGGAACAGCAGAGCCCAGGAACTGAACCGTGCTCGGTAGTGCTCAATCGAACACGAGTAGCCGGCGTCAATCAGCGCTGCCGGGCACCATTTGGGGCCTGAGACCACAATGGGCTCCACTTGATCCAAAACCCACTTAGAGACGTCCTTCCACAGCAGACAGACGAAGAACGAAGATGTGAAGGCCTCACACTGGGCGTCCTCCTGACACAGCTGCTGGCACTGCTCGGCAGGGTATAGTTGCCTGTCAGATGTAGCCACCCGCACAGCACAGCACAGCACACATCCATAGCCACACAGGTGCCAAGGAACACACACGTGTGTCGTGTCGCGTGTGGAGGTGGCTTACAACTTCATGCTCGCCAGCAGCGTTGACGACTTGGGATCCGGCTGTACGCCCAAGTGATCTGCATTCACACAGCCGATGGACCAGATGCATCCATCCATCCGTCCATTTGCGTGCCGGCAAGGGCTTACAGCATCCGCAGTTCTCCAGATGGTAGTAGACGTTGTTGTCCGTGTCATTGACGGTGACGCCGTAGCGCAGCGGCTTGCTCAGAAAGGATGGCACTCCGAGATCGCCCCGCTGGTACGCCAGCTCCTCTGCCGTTCCCTCTTTGCCGAGGGCCCTGGCGTTGCTGTCAGTCGGAAGCCCCCAGTACTTCGCTGGGTCGGCCAGCTTTCCGTGCATGCCATCCTCAGTCAGCGGCGGCAAGGGCTGTGGCGGGAATGTGATGCTGGCAGGGGGGCCACAGTCGCGTCCCTCCACCTGGCCCATTATTGCCCCTGGCGTACAGATCTTCCTGTCTTTGTTGTTGCAGAGGATGCACCTGACATAATTAATGAGGCAGACAGGGAGGGACAACGACCAGTGAGTACTGGGTGTGTGTGTGTTGGTTGGGGGGCTCACATGTTCTCGTAGACCTTCATGTCCCTCGGGTATCGATGGTGCCACGCGAAGACCGTACACATCGGCACGCCGCGGCACAAGTCATGGCACTCCTCCAGCGTCACATTGGCCATGCCCTCGCGGTAATGGCTGCGCGCCCAACCGGTGATGCACGCTACCTGAGGACACGAGAGCGGAACGGAAGGAAGACCATCCATCCATCAGTTGACACCATGCATAGCTATGGTGGTGCCGTGTGTCTGCCCTGGGCTTACATTGTATTCGTAACAGGGCGACACGAGCGACCCCCTGTCGCAGTCAGTACTGAACTTGTCGCCCGACACGAACCAGTTCTCCTGGGTCTCGGTCTTGTTTGGCGGCATGGGCTTCCGCCCCGCGTTGGATGACTTCAGGTAGCAGCCCTCAATCTTCGAGTGCGTCCACCCCACACACCTCTCATTACTCGCACACCCCCGCTGACAGTCACTGCAAACACAGAGGGCCAACAGGGGAATGAGTGCGGTAAAGTAGCCGTGGCCTTCCTTGGCTGTCGACGTCAGTCGGTGTGTTTGTTGTCTTACTATGGTCTGGCGACAGTGTGGCCAAGGCCGAGCTCGTCAGGCAGATCGAAGCCCTCGTAGGTATAATCCCATTCGTAACACGTGGCATTCGCTGGAGGGGCCACGGTGACATGGTCTTCATCTGAGCAGTCACTAGATCTCCTGCTGTCCTCCACACAGCCTCCTGAATTGCAACGAGTCAAACCAAGTGCATGATGTGTGTTGACCAATGCCACACTCTCACCGTCTGGTTCCTGGACCATCCGGAACGCTCCACCACGCCGCATGAAGGGCGGGCAGCCGCTGATGAGGCAGACGAGGAGAAGGGCACGCATTTCCTTACAGCACACCGCACACGAAGCCTCACAGATCACGGCTGGCACGAGACGATCTCTTCAGCTGTGGTCCTTTGCCCCGCTCCCCTCTGCCCCTTGCACAGAAAAATGGTTATTTCTCTTCCTCCCGCTCCATCTATGCGAGCTCAGCTTCAAGAGTGGATCGTTTTCCTTCTGGCTGGCGACGCCAGGCCAAGGGACAAGGTTTTTCGTCGAGCCCTTAACTGCCAAAACACTGGGACTCATTGTTATGGTGTTACCGGTGCCAATTTATGGTCGTCTTGCTGGAGGGAAACTGTCATTAACCGTAACACTCGTCTGTGTGTCCGTGATACTCATACAAATACAGTCCCATCAGCACGCAGAGTCAAACAGGCTCAAGGGGAGGAGGGATCAATCCCCGCCCCATCAGCACACCCCAGTCCCGCAAACCCTCCCCT